GTCTCTCTATAGGGGCATCTTCTCATAACCGCTTTTGCGCATCGCCTCGATGTTGGCATAACTTGTATGCTGGAATCGATGGATGCGTGAGGAAAAAACTGCCTCTTCCATTCCTTCTCAATCTTTATATGAAAAAAACAGGAAGAAAGGAAGGCTCACCTGAGCTGGAGGGTTTATGGCCAGAAAAATAACGTTCATCGAGATATTTCGCGACTTCACTTTCTTCACCCGCTTCACGGCAAGTAAAGCCTCGCCGTGGCGCGATCCATAATTTCCAAAAGCTCATCATACGCAGGGCAGGAGGATTGGGAAGGCTCAGCCTCAACTTCATCGCCCTCCTCAGCTATTTTCTGCTTTTTCTGGGCTGATCCCAGCAGAGCAATGTCCCCTGAATCAGACAGTGTTAATGAAATAACATCATCCTCCAGCGGCTCACTCTCGTGCACAGCCGACGATCGCAAAAGGGAAACCTCCCTTCAAACTCAGATCCAGATCCACCTGCGATCCCCACGAGCTCATTCCCTTCCATGCCTCAGCAGCGGCGGGTCCTGAATCGCAGGAAGCAGATGGCTGCCGCTCTTTCCTCAAAATGAGAGACAAACGAGAGCGGAGCTTTTTTTTTTGGAAAAACGCTCGCAGTGCACGCCGATTGCCCCCTCGGAGACATCGCGTGCATGCTCTTTGCCCAAACAAACAACGCATAGATCGTGTATGTCATCAGATGTTAAACAACATCAACACGGATGCACACATCCTTAAATGCTTTGCTAGTGCTCGCCATAATGAGATAAATAGAGATCGCTCTTACCACAGAAATGCACGCTTCAAACAAAACAGTCAATGAAGACGAAGAAGAGAATGATGTCTAGCTCCCAGCACCTATTTATACTATAGTCGCACTGGTAGTGACGTCATGGCTGTCGCCGGCCAATGAGTTGGTGTTTTTTCAATGTATGCTTCAGACACGGGTCACGACGAGGCGTTCCCCATAGCGACCCCTAGAGGACGCAGTTCGAAGTTCCCATGAAAGGGAACCTAAATAATTTTGTTTATGAATGGAAAGTTCAAAAGAACAGCATTTATTTAAAATATATTTTTTGTATCAACGTAATAGTCATTTCTGATAAGTTTAATGCATCCTTAATGAATAATAGTATTTATTTCTTTAAAAAAACTCTTCCTGACCCCAAACTTTTGAATGGTAGAGACACTGCAAAATAAATCATAGTGAATGTACTAGACCAATTACTAAAATGGAAGCAATTGAATCTGCACTGACATTTAAAAGCAGTTTCATGATTATTGAGATGATTGAATTTCCCGTGGCACAAAACCAATTGCTTAATTTTTGATAGATTTGATTTGTTGTTCCAGCTGAGTAAAAAGTTTCTCTGTACATTGTCCAATAACAACATTATAAATTAACCAACCAATATCTTTCTGAACTAATAATTGTCCCTAAGACTGATTAGTTTTTTATGTTGTTTAGCTATAAACAGTAAGTACTGAGACAGCCTTGGAGCATTTTCCTAATGCAGTGTTCAAAGATTTCCTTTTTCCATTCTTCATGGGTTCCCAGATGCCTTTTTTAAATTTTAATATCACCCAAAAAACGATTTTTATGGAAGATTTCATTATAACCAAATCCCCAAGCACTAGTAACTGGCACAGGCCCTTCTCTTTTCTATTTTTTTTAAACATACAGTCGGTTTATTAAACTAAATCCCAGTACTGAACAGGTGCAACTCAATAACTAAGGTGCAATTCAGTGCCATTGATCAATTTTCCTGTCTTCCGTGTTCCCATTTGCTATTTATTCAGTGTGAGACTGCATTGTTTTGAGACATTTTCACCGAATTGGCAACAGCTGGTATAAATACTAAATTATCCAAATCCGTGTCTCCTTCTATCCTTGAACCTATTTTAATGTTGCCTTTGCGAGCCTTCCTCAAAGGCACCATCAAGTCTGGCGGCGTGGACATCTCGTTCCCCTAGCGTTTTCCGACGCAGCTCGAGTTCCCGAAGGGGAACGTCCCAGGTTACGTATGTAACCATGGTTCCCCGAGGGAACGAGACGCTGCGTCGCAAGGCCATACTTCCGGCATCCCTACTAGAGCTTGCTTCACTCCTAAGAAGCTAGCGCCGGTGGCACCTCACGTGCTTTTAAAGCTTCCTGGTCATGACGTCACCCGCCGCGGACGTCTCGCCCATCGTTCGACTGATTACACCTATGATTCAGAGCTTGGTATCGCTGAAGGCGTTCCCCTAGCGTTTTCCGACGCAGCGTCTCGTTCCCTCGGGGAACCATGGTTACATACGTAACCTGGGACGTTTTCAATCAATTAAAGCTGTAGATCAAACACTAAGCAGGGTCTGGCATCACTTGACTGTGTGTCTTTTTGGAGTGGGCTCAGATAACAGTGTGAATGAAAACCAGCTTACCGGGGGGCTGGGTAGGGAATATTTACAGAGGCTGTTCTATATGACTGCCACACACTCACAAACTATCCAGGGAAATAAAAACTGGCTTCACCATAACACAGACTCCAGCAGAAGCACAAGCTGACATACGATATTTGGACCCTCGCATACAAAAACAAACCATATAATGGTCTTCATGACTTCCATGTGCATATTTGAAACTCTAGTCCCCTTGACAAAGGGGTGGGCTCCTTCAATTTGCCTGTAATTGTTTACGTGTAAATTGTTTACAGAGTTGTTTCCCATAAAGACAGACTGACATCCATTTTGAGCCTGCCAGTGAACCCACATCATGGGTAAAACTTCAGAAAAGCACTGAAATCTGATCATCTTTCAAAGGTAGAGGCGAAAGGTAAAACCTCTGCCCGCTCTGAGTCCTGTCAGTTTCAACGTCGATTCCCCTTTGCACGTAATACCTGTAGTGGAGTCATTAGATGCTAATTTAAGCTTGAGTAAATATTACTAGGTCAGTGCGTTCCCTTGGGCCAACAGTTTGCATTAATGAATTATATGTCACCCACTTGGCTGTATGGACACATCTCGTTCCATTAAGCCCGATATTAATCCGTAGAATGGCTACAACCCAAATGGAAGCCCTTGTATGTGGTGCCAGAGGCCGATTCAATGGCGGTGCCAGGGCTCAGAGACAAGTACAATAAATAAAGCCTTGTAAGTGCATCGTAAAAATCACTTATCCTCATTTTGCGGTGGGCCAAGCTATGCTAGAGGGCAATCAACAAACATTTGGTCAGCAGGAAATTGCTCAAATCTGTATGTAATATTCAGAGTAAAGAAAGAATTCCTCCCACATGTTGCTCTCGAATAAGGGTTGTTGTCTTTCCGAGAAGGAATTCAATCTGTTCAGAATTAGAAGACCACATGGGAGAGAAAAATTATAAATGAGATATTTTTTTAATATCTTAATAGGTTCTCCTAGATGACAAAGACATTAATTGGAAAGCAAATGGAGACTTCTGAGAAGGATTTTCTTCGGAGAAAAAGCAGCTAGTATTATCACGTGACTCTAATAGGCTTTTAGAAGAGATCCCAACACTGCAAACTTTGATACAAGATCTATACAAGATATTAATTTATACTCCTATTGTTTGTTAGCGATTGTCTCGTGTACTTATCTATTTATTACTTGTAAAAATCGTTTTCAAGTTAACATCTAAATGAAACTAAAATGAGAACTCTTCTCCTGAGCTATGAAAGAACAACTGTGGAGCAATAAAGTTATCCTCTGGAAAGACTTAGGGCTCATAAAACCTAAAAACATAATAGCGTTTAGTTATAATGCATCTGGTTACTGGTCACACCGTGTTCATGTTACTTCGTTTTTCTTTTATACAAGAAATGCAAAACTGTGACTGCTTTTGGAATTTCAGTGGTAATCAGGTTTCCAACCCTATGCTTTGTGTGCTTTATACAGTGTATGATACGGCAACAATCAATACATTTTTATGATAACCAATCAGGAACAAATCAAAACGGCAGACTTAACAAGTGAGAACAAATGCACCAGATAAACAGCAGAATGTTGTTGATAGGCCAGGCAGGTCTTCAGTAGGGTCTGTTTGATCTTTAACTAATTTCTGATTAATCAGACTAGTCTCCACTGATATATTAGCCTATTATTGGTCTAAGCCGAGGTGTTGCTCACAAATTATATAATTATGACATGACGTAGTTTGGCCATATTCAAATACACTAGGAAGATTGATAAAATCTTGTGCAAGGTAGACATCTAGTGGTCTTCCATCAGCGTGAAGTAAAATGAAGTAAATCAAATGATTAAATACACTTTAAACTATCGAGAAGTATATTATTTTAAAAATAAGTATTGCATATGGAGGAAAAGTCGCAGTACACATATCAAGTAACCTTCTAAATATTTTGTTCAAAACACATTTAATTCCCTGATATTAAACTGCATATAGGCTATATTTCCATTATATAAACGCATTCTGGAGTTGAATCGCATTTAGGTTCCTAATAAAAGAAACGTACAGCAGCAGTTGTAATACTTATCTACCTCCACAATACTTTCAGCGTGAATGTGACACGAGTTGCCTTCACTTACAGGGTTTTAGGGAAACTGCTCCCTTGCAGCTCTCGCAGAACAAACAGCACATTCATAGGCAGCAGTCAGTCAGTCAGCAGTATAATATCTCTGGAGAATTTACTTCTCTTTCTCTCTGAATGTCACATTTGTTCAAACGCGCCTCATACAATGAGGATTATAATCTGGATCATCGCGAGCACTTTCCTGTTCAGCGTCATTTTTACGCAACGACATCGAAGGTAAGTTCCTAAATAAATATTACCCTGTATCATGCTCCATAAAGCATTTCAATCTCTGACGTGATAGTTTTTACCAATGAAGAATACAATGAATCCGGTTTGTTGTAACATTATACATAGTTCCTGTAGCCTGTTATATTGTTTGCTAATTTATTACAACAGCAAATCAAAGCATATTAAGTATGATGTTGTTCATTAATATTAACTAGCACTAATGGTGCGCATATACCAGCACTGAAGTCCTTGTGAAGTCCTGATGAGTTCCAAACTAAACTATGTGCTTTCCCATATGTCCCCGTTGTAGACCAGTTTTTACATGTGGTGGGAACTTTACTGGAGACACAGGACTGATTGGAAGTCAGGGGTATCCCGGTGTCTACCCACCCAACAACAAATGTGTGTGGAGAATTACTGTAAGGACAGATGTGTGGGAGATATCAGTCTTTAAATGGCCTTTCTGTCAAAGATGTTTCCCACCATGAATCTTTTTCCTTATCTCTCTCTCAAATAAATAAGCTTAATTATTAGCTGTTGCAATCCCTTACGAAAAATTGTTTATTCAAGTGTGCTATTAGTATACTTCTTTTAAACTAAAAATAGGAAAGTATACTTTTAGTCTACTTTTTATGTACTTCTCAGAAATGGGCTTTATGTACTTCTCAGAAATATACTTAAAATGACATTTAAGTATACTTGACTTATACTTAGAAAAAGTCTAAATATATTTGAGCTATAATTGTGCTCCTAGAATCCGTGTTTTCATTATTATACTGTAGGGTGCTCTAGTACACATCTTCTGTACAGAATTTCCAAAAAACACAAGTGAAGAAGAAACCGAAACAACAGATGCTCCCACATGTATTCTAACACGATCATCAGACATAAAACAGTATCAAAACTGTGTAACATTATGGAATAAAATGTCGACCAATGAAGAGGTAATAATAACTGTCAAGCTTTGGGGTGTTGATCGACTTTTCGTTTTGATTATCATTCTGAATCCAATTCATAGTCTTTTTTCAGCTTTTTGTTCAAAATGTTGTTTATTTCTTTATTTTTTTATTTATGAAACTTATCCACATTCAAGTGTTTAAAAAAAGAATGCATAAAGCTAGAATAAAATGTTTTTGTTTACAAGCAGATACCCTGTTCTTTTGATGTTTTGTATGTTCAGATATTCATATAACAAAGTATATACAAATTAATACCTAAATAGTGACATAGTAATATACTTAAAGTATGATGTAAAGTTCACTTAAACAAAACTTACGAGTATACTTGCAGTATAAAACTACTAAACTAGTAGTTTACTGAGACTATACTTCAAAGTGTACTAAAAATGCTACTACAAGTATTTAATTAGTAAACTATCAGTATACCTATAAGTTCACTTTTAGCATAGTTGCAGTACAAACTAAACATTTTGATGTAAACTAGTTGTGTACTCAAAGTTTACTACTGTCATACTTAAAGTATACTTAAAAGTATACTTTTATATACTAGAAAGTGGGCCAATTTAGTCCCAATGAGTATTGAAATAGTACACTTACAAGTACACTACTAGTACACTGATATTTGTATACTTACTACATAAAGTATACTTAAAAATATACTTGAACTTTACTTAAGTATACTTACTGAAATAAACTTGAAGTATACTACTTTTTGGTAAGGGATACGCAAATGCAAAATGCAAAGTGTTTTTTTTATCTTTTTTTTTTAATCACATAGCTCTTTAGTTGGTGTGTTTCTAGGCAGTTGTGGAGTGGTCTGGGTGGTTGTTTACTGCCCCAAGCCTCTGTTTTGGTCCATATTCTGGGCTTCTTCAATGTAATTCTATTGAATTTTTGGCTGTTTTATCATTTACCAGGCACAAATTTTATTATTTTTGCTTATAAAAGCAACAGCACACTTCAACAAGCCACACGATTTGAAATATCTTTCATGTCCATAGCACAAATGTATTGGATGAGTTAGCCTACTCACTAGCACTACTAATGAATTAGATTTTTATTTATTAATTTATTATTATTATTATTTTAATTAGCTGTGACCTAATAAGATTTTTGGAGACTAATGTCAAATTTACTGAAAAAAAAAACCTTCTGAAGTGGCCAGAAGTTGATAACCATATACTTTGATATTAGGGGCTAAGGTGGGTCAGGGCTGGCATTACTTAGTCAGGCTTTAATGTGGCATTACGTCTTTTGAGCAACTTTAAGAGTTAAGGCTACCCTGTGACTTCTCAAAATTCAATGTAAAGACATAATGCCGCATAAAAGCCTGCTCTGACCCGCCTTATCCCCTAGTATCAGTTGTATTTGTAATTCATTTATGCCACTTCTGAGCAGCATTGAACAGTCTGTGTAAAGACACCTAAATGCCACTTCAGAAGCACTTCTGTGCCACTTTTGCAGTTTAAATTCAAATATAGAAAGCTGTGTAAAGATGTGGGTAGATATTGGTGCTAAAAAGTAATTCTTTATTCTTCTCAATCTGATCTCACAATAAAATGTAACTGTTTTACGTTTTTATGCCATTTGTAATGTTGACTCTTTTCAATGAACCATCTTCAGGTTCCTCAAGGGAGGGTTGTCTCCCTCTTGTTCAGAGCTCTGGATCTTGAGAGTGATAGTCTTTGCAGATATGACTTTGTTGATGTATACGATGGCCACATCAATGGGCAGCGTCTCGGCCGCTTCTGTGGTACCGCCAAACCCGGAGCGCTGGTCACCAATGGAAACAAGATGCAAGTGGTCATGGTGTCAGATGCCAACACAGCTGGGAGTGGTTTCCTTGCTGTATACTCAGCGATTCACCCAAATGAAAGAGGTAACAAGACTACCAACTCATTACCATCCAAATATAGAAAGTGGCCCTTCCCTGTTATTTAAATTCAACTTGACTGTGCTTTATTTTGCTCATCAGGTCATTTGAATCCTCTGAAAATAGAGTCTGTTTAGTGCACTGTAAATGCACAGTTACATTTCTGGAAATTATTTTAAAATACAGCACTACAGACTACAAATGTCCCAAAATCTGCAGGGGTAATTAAATGTAACAAATCATGTCAAAATGTATCCTCGTTTATTGAAACATTAAACAACATTTTATCAAAATTTGATAATTGCCTTAAAGTTTTAAACATCTGAGAAGTTGAAAGAAGTACAAATCACCTGTAAATTTCAGCGAGTCCAGAACAAAAAAAATTGTTTTAGCTGTTATGTATTAGGTACATTATCGTCTCTGACAGACAGCTTGTTGAAGCCGCTTAGACCCTCATTTTCTTCTTCTTCTTCTTTGATTTGTAAATAAATGTCTATGATTTTGCAAAAAGGACTTTATCTTCTTGCCGGAGTTTAATGTTGTTTTGTTACTTGCTACCGGGTGTCTGTGAGAACAAAACACAGGCGTAGAAAAGACTATAAATTGTTTTTAACGCGCACAGTAACTGAAATTTAAAACGGTTAAAAGAAAGGCTCAATAACTGTTGCACAGATATAATACACTACGCATCAATTTCTCTTCCCTTTCTGCTTTGCACTTTTTAATGCAAAGCGCTACGTACTTTAACTCTGTGTTGCTTCAAGCACATCATTCTGCACACCGGATGCACATATTGTAAGCGTTCGTGCCGCACTGTATTTGTTTTGACCTATCGAATCTATCATATGTCGTTGCCTTAAAATATGCTATACATTTAAAATAAATGTATTTTAATTTTATAGTATATACTTATATACTATATAAATACATTCATGAATGTTTTTCATTAATGGATTTTATAATACAAATAGCAATAACATTTTACCATATTTAGTGCAACACTTTTATTTGTTCCCCACAAAACAAGTGTTTTAGTGTTTTTTCACTAAATGTTTGGATTTCTAAAATTATTGTGCACTGATTTTTCCAGAATAACTTTTGCTGCCAAATTATCCACTAACCTAGTTTATGATATATTTTTGTCATAGATTATGAATATACATATATTTTTCATATTTATTGTTTATTTTTCTTTATAATGAAGTAGTTTGTATTTAGTAGATTGTGAAAGAATGATTATCAGTTCCACACGCAGAGATATATAAATTCTACATTTATTTAAATAAATTTTTTTTTAAAAATCTTCACTGGTATCGGATCGGTATCGGTATCGGTATCGGTATCGGCCAATACTGAACCCTAGGTATCGGAGGTGAAAAAGGCGGATCGGAGCATCCCTAGTGATTGATGCCCACAAGTGTGTTATGTCAGTGTTTTTACTCATAATATTCCAACCGTTTTTGACGGGCATGATAATGTGCGCAAGGGGTAAAATGCTTGAATTTTGAAACATGCTGGAGACATAGTTCATTATACTTACTTTATGGAATGATGCTTATTTTGTGGTTAAATAAATTACGTTACTCAGAGACTGACGTGTTTGGCTGGTCAGAAATGTTTTGTTCAGCTGTCGCAAATTTGTTGAATTTATCACCAGGAAAAGAGTGATTTTGATGCACAAAGTTATATTTATTTATTTTCTCTTATAACAAACATTTTTATTTAAGCGGATGAAAATGCAGATCCTGTTGTTAATAATAGTGGAAAATAAATTTTCTAAACTGTTGTTAAAACCGCCTTAGCAGATTTTGACTCACATCTGTATTACATGTCAACCGACTAATGGTGGCAGGTGACCGGTATTGTGGGGGTCATTTAGACAAACCCTCCGGGATGATAAAGACCCCTAACTGGCCAGATAAAGACTACCCAGCAGGAGTAACGTGTTCCTGGCATATTGTTGCTCCTCAAGACCAGGTAATAATTCATCATTTCTATGCTTTTCAGATCATGTTACAAGTCATGCATCACTGACAGCACCATGACAGGATGAGTATGAATAGATATCTTATTTAAATTGCAAAGTATCTCCTCCCTCTCAGATCATTGAGCTGAAGTTTGAGAAGTTTGACGTGGAGAGAGACAGCTACTGCCGCTATGACCATGTGGCTGTGTTTAATGGTGGAGAAATGAACGAGTCACGGAAGATCGGCAAGTTTTGTGGAGACAGCCCACCCATGTGAGACCCTCAGTACCATCACATAATATGCACCAATACACAATTTACCTCCAGTATTTAGACTGATATGGATTTTTCAATGGTTGATGCAACATTATTGCATTTTGCCTCACTATTTAATACAGAATGTTATTTGAGTGTGTAACAGGTCTACATTACTGGTCGGCAGCTTCGAATGTTTTTGGAAGATATCTGTCATGCCCAGCAATGCTGCATTTATTTGATTTATTTAGGACAAAAATGTCAATATTATTACAATGACTGTTTTCTATTTAAATACATTTACAGTGTAAATTATTATTTTGATGGTAAGGCTGAATTTACAGCATCATTACTCCAGTCTTCAGTGTCAAACGATCTTTCAGAAATCATTATAATATGCTGATTTGCTGCTCATGAAACATTAATTATTATTATAAATGTTGAACACAGTTATGTTGCTGAATATTTTTGTGAAAATTGTAATGTACTACCATTCAAAAGTCTGGGGTCAGTAAGAAAAAAGAAAGAAAGAACTTATTACTTTTATTCAGCAAGAACACATACAATTGAATCAGTTACATGAATTTAATTACATAAAATTAAAGTGACAGTAAAACACTTTTTAAAATGTTACAAAAGATTTTCCTTTCAAATAAGTGCTATTAATGGACCGTTCTGTTCATCAAAGAACCTTAAAAAATGATGGTTACAAAAAAATAATATTAAGCAGCAAAACCTGATAATAAATGATAATAAAAACCATTATTAATAATTAAGCACCAATAATAATTGATAATAACTGGGTCCCAAATCAGCATATTAGAATGATTTCTAAAGGATCATGTGACACTAATGAAATTCAGTTTTGCATCACAGGAATAGATTACATTTTACACTACATTAAAATAGAAAACAGTTATTTTGAATTGTAAAAATATTTCACAATATTTCTGTTTTCTCTATATTTTTTCTTTTTTTTTTTTTTACTGTATTTTTGGTTAAATAAATGCAACCTTAGTGACCAAACAAATTAAAACTCTGCCAAAATTTTGAACGGTACCATACGTTTAATCAGTCAATGCAATGTCTTCTTTCCGACATTGCATGTCATCCGACTAATGGTGGCAGGTGACACCTACTAAGCTTTTTATGATTAATAAAGTGTGTCCGCATGGTCGATAAAGTTTTATTTTTCAGAGATACTTTGAAGGATATATGGTCATTTCAAACATTATTTATTTATTTTGTCTCGTAGGCCAATTTATTCTGATGGCAATCATCTCTTCATCGTGTTCCTGTCAGACCTGAGTCTAAGTGCGGATGGATTCATCGGCCATTACCGCTTTAAATCACGGAGTCTCAGCACAGCCAGTGCCCCTCTCACCCCCATGAGCACTATCCCACCCACCACACCGCCCGCAGGTCAGTCCACAGCCCACTTTCCAGAAGGTTTCATTTCAAAATGCAAGTAGCGGCACGGTGTAAAACTGCTGTACATTATGGGAATAAACGTGTGTAGGGAATGACATTGGAATGTATTGAAGATTTAGTATGCTTGGTTCATATGGAACACATTAGTTCGGTCACATAGAAGACTAATGTGCTTCTATTTTGTAACTAAAGTGGTTTAACAGAAATAAATGTATGTGACTTTTGCTGTGTTTTATACTCCATTTTAGTGTATAAGGACATACTGTAGCTGGGCATTATTAAAGCTAATCTTTCCACTCTCTTTTCCAAAAAGCTCTTACATATTCAGAAGGTCTTTGCAAACAGAAATGCAAAAGGACTGGAACAATTGAAAGCCATTACTGCTCGAGCAACTTTGGTAAGTGGCCGTTGTTTGGTTGAAATGTGTTTTTGCTTTCTGCAAACTCAAATAACAGCAGGAATTCTGGGAATTTCTTTGATATTCCAGCTTCAGGCACTTTTTCACACATTCAGGGCTTTTACAAAGGCACTATGACGTATCCTTTTCTTTAAAAAAAAAAATCTGTACTATTTCTCAAAATTATATTTGAGGAAAAATACTCTACCGTTAAAATGTTTTTGAAAGAAGACTCTTACACTCGCCAGGACTGCATTTGTTTGATATAAATACAAAAACGCAGTGAACAAGTCTTTTTGAACATATTTAAAAATGTAATGTATTCATGTGATGCAAATCTATATTTCAGCAGCCATTAGTCCAGTTTTCAGTGTAACACGATCCTTCAAAAATCACTTTAATAGACGGATTTGGTGTGAAAGAATCATTTCTTATTATTATCAATGTTGAAATCACGTTACAAAGGCACTATGACGTATCCTTTTCTTTAAAAAAAAAAATCTGTACTATTTCTCAAAATTATATTTGAGGAAAAATACTCTACCGTTAAAATGTTTTTGAAAGAAGACTCTTACACTCGCCAGGACTGCATTTGTTTGATATAAATACAAAAACGCAGTGAACAAGTCTTTTTGAACATATTTAAAAATGTAATGTATTCATGTGATGCAAATCTATATTTCAGCAGCCATTACTCCAGTTTTCAGTGTAACACGATCCTTCAAAAATCACTTTAATAGACGGATTTGGTGCGAAAGAATCATTTATTATTATTATCAATGTTGAAATCACTTTTTGCTGCTTAATATTTTTGTGGAAACCGTGATACACCATTCAAAAGTTTGAGGCAAGTATGATTTTAACAAGAAAAAAATTTATACTTTTATTCAGTAAGGATGCTTTAAATTGATTAAAAGTAACAATAATGACTTTTATGGTAAAACAGATTTTTAATTTCATAAATGCTGTTCTTTGAATTCTCTAAAAATGTTTCCTTGGGTTTTTACAAACATATCAAGCCGACAAATGTAACAATGATAATATTAAAAACCATTACTGACTGATTTCCAATAATAACTGAGCACCAGATCAGCATATGTAACACTGAAGACTGGAGTAATGATGCTGAAAATTATGCTCTGCATCACAGGAATAAATTACTTTTTAAAATATATGAAAACTGAAAAATTGTTTTAAATTGTAATAATATTTCACAATTTTTTAATTAAAAAAAATGCAGCCTTGGTGAGCATAAAAAACATAAAAAAAACAAAGAAATTGCAATTATCCTAAATGTTTGACCGGTAGTGTATTGGTGTCACTTTATAATAACTTGATATAATAAAATAATTTGTCATTTACAAACAGGTTGCTTAAAAAAACAGTAGTTGATACATATGATACATATTTTAAAGTTTCAAGAGATATAACACCTTAAAGTGATGTAAACCCAATTCTATTCATAGAAATAATGCATTATGCTGGTTTTAAAAGTTAACTAAACCTCTCGGTCTTTAATAATGCTTATAGATGGAAAATGTGTTCAGGCCGATACTGAGACTCAGCTCTTTTTTTTAATTGCAGTGGCAGCAAAGCTGCTGAGCACAGTAAAAATTGCAGCATGCATATCAGAACTATACGTTCTTTATACATTACCATGCACACACGTTTTATGCAATTGTTCAAAGACGAAAGCATGATTCGGTGAATATACAGTCTTTTTTCCCCCACAGTGATTACCGCCACCCTTATCTCAGCAGCCATGAGGGACCACAGCGTCCTCGCCACCTTCTCCATCCTGCACCTTTATAAGGAAGGAAGTTTAGCCATCCAACAGGCTGGGAAGACCATGAGCACCAAAGTCAGGGTCCTCTGTAAAAAATGCCCTCTGGTCAGAAGAGGCGAGTATCTTTACACTGACATTGATCTACAGAACTTCCAACCTTAATCATTTGGATTAAAACCATCACAGCCTAAACTAACACTTTTAGGGCTGCACGATATATCGTTTCAGCATCGATAACGCGATACTGATCGTTATATTTATACTGATTGTTTTCTTTGCTCACACACAGACACGGTGTCTACACGGGATGCGACAGCTGTACAGAGATACCCATTTTAAATACATTTAGTAGCAGAGCTACTGCACGCGATTTTCAGTGCTGGAAATCCATTTATCCTTTGTTGAAACTTCCGCATCGTCGTGGAGAGCGCAGGTCACGGTCACTTAGCAAGGGCAGACGCCACGAAAGTGCAAGCTCCCGAGCGCTTTGGAAAGAAGGAGAAAGCGGCGTGACATGTGAACCCCAAAGTCTGTCTACAGACAAAGTAATGTTACAAAGCAACCGTTGCACATCATTTTAACATTGTGTCAGTACGTCATAAAGAGAACGCGGCATTAGTTTACTGTAGAGGATTTGTCGCGCCACACCTCATCCAGTGTAGACAGACAGCATCACTTATTATAATGGATTCTATTTTATTTTGTCGCGTCGCACCGCGCCGCTCGCATCCGGTGTAGACATGGTGAGAGCCAAGCAGATGCACGTGAACACTGAATTCTGTTCACTTCTGCCTCTATTTGTGCCTGAAATACTGTGCTCTGCAAGTATCCTTGTAAACACAGTTGCTTATGGCTTAGGTGAAGGGAAACACGCTTTGGAAAGAAGGAGAAAGCGGCGTGACATGTGAACCCCAAAGTCTGTCTACAGACAAAGTAATGTTACAAAGCAACCGTTGCACATCATTTTAACATTGTGTCAGTACGTCATAAAGAGAACGCGGCATTAGTTTACTGTAGAGGATTTGTCGCGCCACACCTCATCCAGTGTAGACAGACAGCATCACTTATTATAATGGATTCTATTTTATTTTGTCGCGTCGCACCGCGCCGCTCGCATCCGGTGTAGACATGGTGAGAGCCAAGCAGATGCACGTGAACACTGAATTCTGTTCACTTCTGCCTCTATTTGTGCCTGAAATACTGTGCTCTGCAAGTATCCTTGTAAACACAGTTGCTTATGGCTTAGGTGAAGGGAAACAATTGAGAAAGAAAATGGATGTTTAACAGTATATTGGTTCACAGCATTCATTTGTATTTTTGTTCTGTTATTTATCTATGCTTGTTATTGGTTTATTTCCTATGCTGATTTACTCGCCTACAAAATCACCCCAATCATTGATTTTTTTTTCTCTCCCAAATATAAAGCTATTGAAGTCATCAGATTTTTTTTCCATATCGCAGTATATATCCCAATGTGAGTTTTTTCCAATATCGTGCAGCCCTGCTTGGCGAGTCCAGCAGATGTTTATAGTTGATTGAGGTGGATTTTGGAAGGTGATAGTTTGCATATTTCGAGCTCCCCCAAAGTCCTTTGGCTCCATTTGTGGCGTTGAGATATTTCAGGCAGGATATGCCATTTCAGCGCCACGGTGTGTAACTTAAGCTCGCTCAGGAGAGAGTCTCAGTTGGTTTCCTTGAATCATTATCGCAGTATATATCCCAATGTGAGTTTTTTCCAATATCGTGCAGCCCTGCTTGGCGAGTCCAGCAGATGTTTATAGTTGATTGAGGTGGATTTTGGAAGGTGATAGTTTGCAAATTTCGAGCTCCCCCAAAGTCCTTTGGCTCCATTTGTGGCGTTGAGATATTTCAGGCAGGATATGCCATTTCAGCGCCACGGTGTGTAACTTAAGCTCGCTCAGGAGAGAGTCTCAGTTGGTTTCCTTGAATCACGGACAGCTAGAATAATAATTCTCTTCAACCACATGGATGGTATGTGACTTTATTGTGCCATGCTTTACCTCAGCTCACTTAGTGTCGAAATATTAAGCCACTGCTCGGAAACTCTGCAAAGCAACTGTTTTGTTTTGAGGGAAATTTCTAGAAATGTGCCATAGAGGAATGTGTGTTGAAATATGCAGGAACAGTTTTTGGCACTTCAGAGAAACAGTTTAACATTCATCATTTGTAGTGGAACTTTTGTTGAGGTGAAAAGCAAGGCATTAAACAAAATATTATATGCTTTACCTCACATTATACGAAGGCAATAGCACATGAGCAAAGGTGTGTTATGACCTTGGCTGTGTTCTTCTATTATAAAACAGTGAAATGGACAAATAATTGTACTTAAAGAACAGACAATTTCTTGACTTTTAATGTCAGAATTACTTTAAAATACATTTGAAATCATTAAGTTTAATTAACTTTGTCATGCTTTAAAGATGTAAACTTATTTTGATGCGTTTATGAACATAGTAAAGCACAATTGTAATTTTAACTGTAATTTGTTATTTGATATAGTATTTAATGGTGATATATTTTAAATGTACTTAATTGCAACTTCATCATTACTATTACATATTGCAAATATATTTAATTACATAACATACAAGTTTCAATAGGAATGACATTAGGCCCTGTCCACACGAACGCGGTTATTTTGAAAACCGCAGCTTTTTCTACGCGGTTTGGCCGTTCGTCCACACGCAAATGCAGCACCAGGTCACTGAAACCGAACATTTTTGAAAACGCCTGCCAGGGTGAAGATTTTCAAAAACTCCGGTTGCAGTGTTATCGTGGAGACTTTTTCAGGCTTCTGATTGGCCAACATGGCTTTACGGTTGAGATTATATCGCCACCTGTTGGCTTGGCATGCTCTTGACAGTGCTTCATAGCATGCGTTTGCGTTTTCATGTGGACGGAGATTTTTTTAAAAACAGAAGGAAAAACTATGTTTATAAAAATAACCGTGTATGTGTGGACATGGCCTAAGATATATTTTAGTTTACCATAAATGCTTGTCAGTACATTCGACAGTACCCTTACCATATTTCATAACCATATTAACCATATATCTAACCATATTTTCATATACATTTTTTTATTATTATTTTTTTTTTTAAAGTACTTTTTCACAAGGGTGGGCTGTTTCTAACATGTTATTGGAGTAACAGAAATGCAGCATGATTGTGATGCAGGTTTTATACAATAGTTCAATAAACAAGAAGTTCTGTCATCATTTTTCACCCTCAGGTTATTCTAAGCCTGTATGAAAGTCTTTCTTTTGCTGAACACAAAAGAAGAGTTGTTTTGGTTACAAACATTCTTCAAAATATCTTCTATGTTCAACAGAAGAAAGAAACACATACAGGTTGGTACAGGTTTTTTTTTTTTTTTTTTTTTTACCAGAAGTTGACAGAAGTTTCATTTTTGGGTGAATATTTCAGTTTAATATTAAGCAATGTACAGTAAAGACAACATAAACTTTTTTTTTTGCTTTGTCAGCAAATATAGTTCCAAACAAAGTCAAAGCAGAACCGCTGAAACATCGAGCAACATATGAAACTGGAATTTAATTAATTCACTCATTTGTTTGGTTTCAGGGCTTAACTACATTGTCATGGGACAGACAGATGAACAGGGACAAGGTATTGTGTCTCCTCATAACTTTGTGATGGCTTTCAAAACCAAGAAGCAACGGGATCTGGGAGTGCTGAAGAATATACGCTGCTAATGTGCACAGGTCACCTCCATGACTGACCATTTCTATGACTTCTATGATTCACTTGATGTACATGCTTTTGATAACATTCATACTTGATGGACTCTTTAAGTGGTCTAATTTGTTTCATATTTCTGAAGCACATTTACTTCAAAATAGAACATTTAAAAAATCTTTAGTTTGTATGTTGAGGTTCATTTATTGTGTTTTACTGTAAATATCTTTGACCACATGAATCAATGATTCCCTCACATTTCGTTCAACTGAAGAGCTGAACTGTTGCAGAGCTTTCTAGAAAGCCTGTATATAAATGAAAGAACTCGCTACAACGCAAACTCTGTCATTTGCAGTAGCTGTGTGCGGGGGTGGTGATATTTACGTTCCAGGAGATCTGGACATGCTGGCCTTTGAATCTGACATTTATCTAATCTATAGTGTTGTAATGAATGAACAAAGATTGAAGATGACAAAACAAAATGTTGTCAAAATGAAGTGCACTGTAAAATTGGTATTATGTCAGCTGAGGTTACAACAAAAAGTTCCTGTTGTTTGAACTCTGAAACCATAAAAAAAAGAAGAAGAAAGCTTCTGTTGTAATTTAGGGAAACATTTGTATAAAAGAGTATAGCAGTTTTTTCCCCATAATATTTTTGATTTATAACTGGATTATTCAAATGATGGCAAGGAAAATAGGATGGAAATTAAAGCTACATTTAACAATTGCTTATTGAGTATTTGAGGGGATCAGCTTAATTCTGATGAAATTAAATGTTGATATTATCAAGTGAAATAATACCATCAAATCTATTGCTATTGCTTCTTATATATACAGTATATAAGGTAATTAATATGATTTACATAAAAAAAAAAATAAAAAAAAAAATATATATATATATGTATATATACTGTATATATTGTGACGAGAGGGGCAGGGCCGAGAGCCGTGGGAACGGAGCGAGGCTGGTGGAGAAAATGCTAATGCACGACACCTGTGCCACTCACCGGTCTCGAGTCCCACGGAGGAGCTCCGGAAGGATAAAAGGAGGAGTGACGACAGTGTTGGATGAGAGAGGACCAGGCCTGGACTTTATTTTGTGTTTTGTGTGCGGCAGTCGTCCGCGAGGGGCTGCTGCTTTACTTTCATTTTGTGTTTGTTTATTTTATTAAATTGTTTAAATGTCCGCCGGTTCCAGCCTCCTTCTTCCCGAACTACGAACTGTTGTTACATTGGTGTCGTGCATTAGCATTTTCTCCACCGGCCTCGCTCCGTTCCCACGGCTCTTGGCCCCGCCCCGCCCCTCTCGTCACATATCTTTATATATATATATATATATACAGTGGGTACGGAAAGTATTCAGACCCCCTTAAATTTTTCACTCTTTGTTATATTGCAGCCATTTGCTAAAATCATTTAAGTTAATTTTTTTTCCTCAT